ACATATACATGGCCAATAAACACGACTGTGATTCTGATTGCTCAGCACGCTGGTGATGCTATGGTCCCTGACACGGGTTGTTGCTAGGTGGACGCAGGTCTAACGTCGTCCTGACGACTGTAGCTTAGAACGGGCTTCCCTTTAGACGGTGCGATGACGCAGATCACGTGATGAGGTTTGTTGTGGATTTTTCCAGCAGGTCTAATATTCCCATTCAGTTTGTTCCTGTCAGGATACCAGACTCTGATACTCTGTCCAACATGCTTACACTCACGTCCTGATTCGCTCTCTTGTAGATCAACATTATCCACAAAATTCTCCAATAGAAAAACACGACTGACCTCTGACCTGGACTTCTACACCAGCTCCTTCATTTTGTCGACATTAATCAACAAATTTACCTCCCTCCTCCACCCACGTCCCTGAGGTAAGGTGGGGTCAGAGTTCCTCTGAAAGGAAACAACTGAAGACAACTCTGTGCTGTGTCAGTGTCAGCGAGCTGAGGTCACGGCGGCCTGAGGTCACGGCGGCCTGCACCTCGTGTAGATCCTTTGTTCATGTGCATGTTCAACTACATCGTAACAGCTGGAGAACAGCTGCACTGATGGAGCTGAACTGTAGAGGTGTGTACACAGAGGTTTGGAAATAACGAAGGATTTGATGTGTGTGTGTGTGTGTGCGTGTGTGTGTGTGTGTGTGCGTATGTGCGCGTGTGTTACCTTCTCTACAGCAAAGGTCCGGATCACATACTCAGACAGCAGCTGAGTCTCGATCAGCGTCACCTTCATGTCGCCGTAGATCTCCGTGTCATCAGGCCAGTACTTACAACACTTCACCTACACACACACACACACACACACACACACACACACAGGATTAAATTGCCTCATTAATTAAACAGAAACACAAACAGAACAAAAGCAGCTGATATTAAAATCTCATTAGAGGCTCCGCCCCCTCCCCCTCTCCTCATTAACAGCTAATTACTGCAGAGCTAATCACACTGTCACCACGACAACCAACGAGGTGAACAGGGAGGGAGGGGTGAGAGAACAAATCAGGCTAACGTGACAGTCTGTGTGTGTGTGTGTGTGTGTGTGTGTGTGTGTGTGTGTGTGTGTGAGACAGAGGGAGATAATCAGGCTCTATCCCAGAAGCCCCCCTCTGTAGAGGAGGGGGGCAGTTCCCCGGTGCCTTCTCGGTAATGAGAGCTGAGCGACGCCCGCCTGCAGGTGTGTGTGTCTGATCTCAGGTTCGATCCTTTATTTTCAGGAGGAAATGGCGGCGTGTTTATCAATTTACAGCGCGATTCACAGGAGCACGCCATGAGTTTCCCACAATGCTGAGCAAATGCGATGAGGTCACACAGCCACTACCCAATAGTTAGAACCTGAGCACGCCACCCTCAGAGACGGACGGCTGTGAGGAGCAGTGCGTCCTCGAGGATGCAGTGCCGCTACGCTGCAGCGGGAAAGTCAATGCTCAGAGAAGACGCTCACTGAATTACTGTCAAATCTGAAACACGCAAAGTGTATGTGAAGGTTTTGATGTTGACCCAGGTGTCGTCCACATATCTGTACCAGTGGCTGGGTACTCTTACTTTGAAAGAGCCAAGTGTAAGTTTCTGGACCTCGTTGTTGAGGTCGGTGGAGTTTGTGATGAGTTTTTTTAATTCCTACAACTGAAGAAGCCTTTCTGACCCACAGGTACACGTCTGTGAGCTGTTTACTGCAGGTGACCGTGAGTCAGAGCATGAGAAGAATAACAGGAGACATGAGAGCGGCACTCTGGGAAACGGAGTCCCAAACTTCATCAGCAAGGAAATAACAACCAGATGGCTGCACCGATCCACGTGTGTGTGTGTGCACGTGTGTGTGTGTGTGCACGTGTGTGTGCGTGCTCACCCGGCCGACCTCCACCAGGTTGGTTACCATGACGATGGCGGCGGTATTCTCCTGCCAAACCATCCTCCAGAAATCATACACCGTCTCCTGCATGGGACCTGAGACACACACACTCAGGGTAAACTTCATATTAGACTGCAAAGCTCTACATGAATCATAATCACTCTTTTAATTAATTAAAATGAAGCGCACGCACACACACACACACACACACACACACACACACACACACACAGAAAATATTTTTAATTACTGTTGACAGTCTGTGTTTTGACGAGCTAATTAGTTCATGCTAATCCATTCCTGTCCTCAAGTGTTTTACAGCGAGAATCTGCTGTGAGCACACACACACACACACACACACACACACACACACACACACACACACACACACGTTGCATATTCATGCTCACAGACTGACATGCTGGCCCAAACACTGCTGTTTGTTCAGGACGATGGATTTCTACCTGGAGATCTGATCTCTGTTTGTGTGTGTGTGTACAGTCAGTGTCAGGTGATTTGGCGCCACCTGTGGTCAGAGGTGGAACTTGTTCTGTTGTTCTGGCTTTCTGAGCAACAACAACACATCGTGTTAGGGATGCAACGATACCAATTTTTTCAAACCGATACGATACCGATACTTGGATCTGAGTACTTGCCGATACAGAGTACAAAAAACGATACTTCTACCACACACACACACACACACACA